CCCCCCCCCCCCCTCCTGGTCCCTTCGACGGTGGAGCCACTGGGGCTGCCCTGGGCATGTGGCTCCATCCAGAGATGATGGGATGCTTGCCCTTCCCCACCCACCCGCTGCAGAGTGTGGGGAGGGGCTGGCTTCCTCCCTCACCATCCCCAGCACTCAGGAACTGGGTCTCAACCCCCTCAGCCCAGTGCCTGCCCTGCTCACGAGGAGCTATGTCCTCACCAACTTGCCCTGAGGACACCCAGGCACTGTCCAAGAACCCTCCTTTCTGCTGGCCCGTCCATGCAGCCAGAGATGCAGAGCGATGCAGAGGGTCCCTGTGGAGTATCACAGGCAGCCCAGCGCTGCCCAGCCTGGGTCTTACCCTGGTGCAGTGTGGGCTTTTGCTGCAGCCCCCTGGAACCCCCCTGCCTCCTGCAGAACCCACCTGTGGAAGGAGGCGGGGGCCAATCCCACTTCCCGGCCTGCATCCCTTCTGTCCCCATCCCCAGGGCTGCTCTCCTAGAAGGCTAGGGCTGAGGGGCAGCTGGGGACATGAGGTGGAGAAGGGACATGGCCAGAGTGATGGGCAGGGATGCTGGGAAGGCCAGTGCTGGCTGGCGTGGCAGAAGCCCAACTGCAATGGCCCAGCTGCCAGCATCGGCTGTTTCAGGGTGGGCTGGGAGCACTGCGCGGCTGGAAGCCTGGCTGGAGGGTCATGCCGGGGCCAGGCTCTTGCCACAGCCCTGACCTGGGTGTGGGCACTCAGGACCCCCAGATTTGTTGCCTTGAACCCAGAGATCCCTAGCAACATGCCTGGGCTGGGCTGCCTGGATCTGGCTACCCCCTTCCCCATCGCCCCAGCAGCACAGTCTGCACTGCTGCCCACCCTGGCATGGGGGGCTCAGCCCCCCGTGATGGCCCTCCTGGGGTCTCTGTGGCTCACAATGGGCTCTGCATGTGCTTTTCAGTATTGCCCCTTCCTCAGTGAGCATCCCCGTGCTCTGGGGCTCCCCCCAGCTGCCGTGGTGTCATGGGGGATCCCCAGCAGCACTGCTGTGGCCACCCCTGGCTGGTTTGCCCATGGGCAGCCCAAAGTGGAAGGGAAGGGGGTTTTAGCATGTTTGGGAAGAAATACATGGAGGAAACAATTTGTTGAGCGTGAGATTGCCAAACTGCCAGGCCTTGCAGCATGG